GAAAGGGCATCAAAGGAAGATAAATGAAATTCATGGTGTTGGAGAGCTTCCGAACATACGACAGGCTCGATCTTGTCTTTCGGGGTGGAACACTTGTACAAGCTAACATACCCGGGTGATAAGAAGATGGGAGACTTCACGCAACGGTGGCCCGACATCATTGCTGGAATCAAACCGGAGTCTGTTCCGGAAGAGGAGGAGTTGAGGGATACGCTGTGCCAAAAGCTGAAATGGGACTCCAAGGAATTGGAGCTGGATTTGAATTTACGCGAGCGCATGGAACGCAGTGATCCCGCGAAGGCGCACAAATACTTGCTCAACATGATCGAACGGCGGGTGAAAGCCACCAAGGAGGAGAAGAACTGGGAAAACAAGGAGAAGGCGCTCAAGGATCATAGATTGGGCAATGCGCTCCCTTCTCCCAAAGAAAAGGCAAAGCCGAAACCGAAGGCAAAGCCGGAAGCGAAGGATGCCGAAGATTCGGCACCGGTTCTTCCTGACAAGAAGAAACCAAAGGAGAAGGCAAGGCCTAGGGGGAGGTCACCTTACAAAACCAGAGAACCGTCCCTGGTGGAACGAAGAACATTCCGTGTCAGTTTCATTTCTTTCGTGGGAAGTGCACGAAGGGCTCCGATTGCAAGTGCAGCCATCAGAAGAGTACTTACACAACCGAATGGAGGAAGAAGTTCGAGGAAGGTCCAGCAGGCGAACGCCCCAAGAACGATGGCATCTGCTCGTTCTGGAAGAAGGGACTTGGAAAAAGGGAAAGGCTGCAAATTCAAGCATCCGAAGAACTCAGCACCGCTAGAGAAGGATTCCGACGCTGAAAGTGAGGCGGATTCCGAAAAGAAGACAAAGAAGCAGAAGGCGAAGGCGGCGCCGGTGATATCCACAGGTTCATTGTAGGAAGACTCCGAGAGCACTACCCCAAGAAAAGGGGAAAGAAGACAAAGAGCGTGGTGTTTGGGGATTGGGTTGAACACGATGACGGTGATGTGTAACCAAGAGTTTCCTGAAAGGTATCGCAGTGACGATCATGGGAAGAGAGGTGTAAGAAAGCACAAGCGCCTCGATTGGGGCTGCAAAGGCTGGAACATTTGCGCAGATTTCTATCAAAGTACCTCTTTCCGATGACTACACGATGGAGATAGTTCTCATAGGTGACAATCATGAAAGAAGGGGGTGTGTGACGGGGTGTGATCGGTGATCAATGAGGGAAACCCAACACCCGATTGCCATGATAGTAAAGCCGGGCAAGCTTAAAAGGATGAAATGGCTCATGGACACCACGTGCGGGCGCGATCTGATAGGGCTGAAAGTGGCGAACAAACTAGGCCTCAATCCTAGGATGAATTCGGAGGCGATGATCTTCATGACGGCGAACGGAGTCACGGAGACGGATCAGAAGGTTGATCTGGTCATCAATGAGATGAAAGACACGACATCGCCATTTGCGATGGCATCAGTCTTGCCTATTGTCTTTTTGTTTTTTGTGAAAATTGGTTATGATTTTCTGTGGAGGCCCGGGGAAGAACCTGTCATGTTCGATGATCGGAAATCTGTGATACGCCTTCGGGCCAAGGATCACATTCCCCACCTGGTAACCAATGAAGCACGGAGTATGAACCGTTGGGGAAACTCACGGAGTCTGCTCTCGGGATCTTGGATTACCCCGAGAACCATGCGGAAGATCTGTCCGGAGGATTGACTTCATCGCTGGACGAGATACCAATTGCGGCACCGGCGGAGGAACTCGGTGAGGAAGAGGGAGGTGATGCCGATGAAAGGGACAAGGGCGGAGGTAGTGACGAAGATGAGTTTGAAGTCGATGTCGAAGCTGGAAGGGGTGTGAAGAGAAAGAAGGGAACTCACGCTGGAACACATGGTTGCCCACAGGTTTGCTTACCCTTATTGTGATGCGTGTGTGAGAGTGAAGATGCGACACTTCAAAACCAAGAAGGGTGCGTTCAAGCAACAGTTCAAGAAGTGGGGGGACCTAGTCACGTTTGATTTCCTAACACCCGAGAGAGTGGGACAGTTGGGAATTGAGACGGATTCCAATGTTTTCGTGGCGCGAGACGTGTCCTCTAGAATAAGGATGGCGTATCCTACTTCAGACGGTTCCGCGGATGAGGTTGTCAGACGCGTGAAAGAATTTATGGGGAGGCAAAAGATCAGGGTTGCATACGGAGATCATGCTCCTCAGTTCGTCAGTGCTTGTCAGCAGCTGGGGATCACGTTCGGTCATTCACTTCCCATCAGATCCATGAATAAATGAGTCTTTGGCTGAAAGGAACAATCTGTACGTAATCGATCAGGTCAGCACTTGCTTGCAAGCTGGCTGCTGAGTTATCTCCGTGTTACTGGTCTGTTGCTCTGACTTCGACATGTCACTTGCTGAACGTTGAAATCGTTGATGGTGAGAGCGCTTGGTGCAATATGCATGGAGATCATTTCGGTGGCAAGAGTATGCCTCTAGGTGCCTATGTCCATTTCAATCCGTCTCCTGCGAGAGAACACTCACAAGTTCGCACCCAGGTCAATGAGGGGTGTGTTCGCGGGTTATGAGCTCGAGAGCGGAATGAGAGGAACTTGGGATGCGAATCCGTACCCATGAGCCTACGTAGGCCCCACATAGTGGATAAGGTTGTGATGGTTCACCCACTTGCCTTCCCACTAAAGAGCACCTTTGAAATTGAGGCTTTGATCGAGGCTTCCTGGGAACCCATAGCAGCCGAAGTCGCATCTCCAACACCCCTAACAATGAAGGCGGTTCAGATACACCTTTGTCACGCATGATCTTTGCGCGCCCGATTACACGGCCGCAAGGTGTTCTCTGGAAAGCTGAAAATGTGTCACGCGCTGCGCGAATGGCGCGCCTGGCGCATCCCGTTCCTGGCGCGCCTACACATACCGTGTCATGCGCTGCGTGAATGGCGCGCCTGGCGCATCCTGCCTGACAGTTCTTGCCCACACATACCATCAGACCCGAATTCCATTGGCCGACGGGGAGACCACAATCCAACCCAACTATGGCGAGAAGCAGAAGAAGAAGGGATGGGTTGATGAAACCGAACCACGGCACGGGCAGCTCAACGACGGCCCCAAGCTGCTCAGACCTTCTTCGGCGGAACGGAAGAAGACGGGTGAACGGTCTGGGAATCCCAGGTCCATTAGTCCAGCTGACCGAAACGCCGAGCCCTCTTCCGATCTTCGGGCAAGGGCAAGGTGAAGGGTAACAAGGGCAAACAGAAGGGGAAAGGCAAGGGCAAGGACACCAAGGGGAGAAGCTATGCTCCTCCTTGGCGACGGGATGTGCGGGACCGCACCAACGTCCGTGACGTGTATTGGTTACGACGGATGGGATGAGAACTGGTGAGCGGCTTAAGCCTATTCCCAAATGGCGCGATTGCGCGGGGAAATCGGGACCGACGCTTTGCATATCCTATTCCTTGTTCACATATATTTCAATTTCAATGCATATATTCGGACAAGCGGCGAAATGGACCTATTCGAGCAAATGCTCTATTTGGACCAGGCATGGGGGGACCCTTGATATGCTCAACTTTCACATAGGGAACTCTGCTGAGGAGATCAACCCAAGGTTAAGGTGTGGACCGGCCGGGCCCTTAGGGTCTGAGTGGGCGAAGAGCTGATGCGCCACTCTTCTACACCGACAGCCGGGTTAAGCAGGTGCCGATGTGTCTGCTCTGGGATACTGGGGCCGCCAATGGTGTTGTATCTTTACATGAGGATGATCGCGTGGTTTTTGTTCAGGCGTTCCTATTAGCAATACCCTTGCCAAGTCTTGGGAACATTTTGCGGGAAAACGTTACCGTTCACCGGAACGTTAGTACCCAGTGCTACTTTTCTCCTGTCCAGATTCCGCCAGAATTCGTGTACAGCTGAATTCCAGTAATTTTGAGCGTTTCACAACTCGAGTTGCAAGTCAAAATAAATTCAAAATGAAGTGTGAATGAGCCGGCGTAATGTATAAACTCCATTATACTGGGCCCAGGATGAAATTCCCCACCACAAATTCAGCGCCTCTGCGCAGATGCTTCAAAATGAAGCATACTGCGCGGGGGGTGTGAATAGTTTGTGGGCCACTCATGCAGTTGTGTAGTTATACACACTCAATGCCATTTGGATCAAGAAAACACATGTTTTGTCTCACAATTGTCATTGTGATTCAATACTGTCCACAAATAAATCAAGCTTGCGGAGAGTTTGCGGCCTCGAGGATATTCGGTTTTCCGAAGGACAACACAACCATTGTTGCCGGGGATACCAAAGGAACCCCTCGGTTTCTCATTTTGGCTGGTAAGGGAAACCAACAGGAAAGCCTTCTTATTCTGTTTTGTTTGTTTTGTTTTGTTCTATATATGTTTTTGGGGATGTGGGCAGGACTTTGAATTGGGGAGCCGTCGGTATTTAGGTCGGGGTTCTTGTCTAACTAAGTATAAGGCGGTTCCCTCTTAACGATCACGTGCGTCCGTTTTTTGGGATGGTGGGAAGGTGGCATTTTTTGAGGCTACCCTTTTTGGGTGTGTAAAGCGAACAAAGGGACACCACCGAGACCTTTTTCGGCTTGGTTTCATTTGGACACATACTCACATTTTGATCGGGAAGACAAAAGGGGACTGGGTGGGTGTTTGGGTAGGGGACCCCCTCCCAAAAAAAACAATTAAAAAAGACAAGCACATACTGGTTTTCCGCTTGGATTCCTTTTTAAACCACAAAAGTCTCGTACCCTTCGGCGTCCCTTTGACGTAGCCACCAGCAAGAGCACCTTCAAGGAACAATCCCCCCAAAGAAAGAAAAACCGCAGAAAAAAAAGGAAGGAAAAAAGATCTTCGAAGGAATTCGGTGTTCCTTTCGGTTTCCTCAAAAAAAACCAGCGCAACAAGCGTTAAAAGGTTGGGGTACTCAACTGGGTATATCCATTCCCCAGAAAACCTCCAAGAAAACCTCCAGACACCGCCCGCCCTTTTTGTCAGGAGGCGGAGGTGGCGGACGCGGAAATCCGCGCTGGGCCCTGAGGTTTCAGACGGCTTGAGGTTCCAAGCAGCAGCCGAATCCATTTAAACTAGGGATTGGGCCCAGTGAAAGGACCGATCTTCTTTCGGTGTGATGTTTAAAGGGAAAAGGGAGCCCTATTTTTGAGGGAATCCCAGGGATCCTTGCAGGAAGTTTCCTGCGAAGCAGTGGCACCCCATGAGTGAAGGGACCGATCTTCGAGTTCCTTTTGGGGTGATGTTGGGGAAATGTAGGGCTCGAGCCCGATTTTGAAGGGAATCCCACTTGGAGGGTCTAGGGAACCCAACACCCCTTACGGATTCCCAGTAGGGATTCGAGGTGCTCCGTTTTTTGGGTTTGGTTTACCTGCCTTCTTATGCTTTCAACCTCTTCGGTTTTCCAACATTTTCCCTAGGACGAACTAAAACTTGGTTTTTCGCACGGGCTCTAGGTGGGCCCGATTTAGTGGTGAGCATGTTGTTGTTCACTTTTTGTTTCTGGCCAATCCACTTCGGAAGGGCTTCTTGATACCTTCGCCATTCTTTCCAGGGAGCCTTCTTTCTGGAAAACCTCCGGAAGCCCAGGGGCAACGGTGTTTTTAAAGCGATGGGTGGACAGAATGGGGAAAACCCAGGCAACCGGATCCTCTTTTTTTTAAGAGCGACGGGTGGATGGGGAAACTCACCCCAGTCCCAGTCATAACCCGAAGCTACTTGAGTTGGCTGAAGAGCCAAGTGATTCTTGAAATTCTCACCCGAGTCACAATAACCCGGGCAATTGGAGGGGAGTCCCAATAAATGGGCGCGGACATCCGCCTTGTTAATTCTGTACATGGTTCTGGGATTACGACCATTTTAGTACCGGTCGGTTTTGATTGTGAGTCAAATGGGAATATATCGTGTACTTGTATCATATGTATATATATATATATGTGCCCAGTCTTTCAGAAGCTGGAACCAAATTCTTGATGGCACATCCACTCCATCAAGATCAGCTCCAGTTCTGCTGCAGGTTGCATTGACTCGCCGAGGCCATGTGTTTGCAGTACGGGCACACCGAAGACTTCTGCTGCGGAGGCTGCCCGGTGACCCAGCGAGGCAGATGTTGGCGGCTTTGAATCGGGCGGCGGTTCCCCGTCCCCCACCGTATGTCTTCTTTTGAGGTGCCTCAGGTTGTAACGAGAAACCAAAGGAAAACCACTCTTTTCGATGGTTCCCTAAAAAATCTACACCCAAATGCTCCAATTGAATGAGTTGCGTTTCAGAATATGTTTTTGAAGGGAATCCATCACTAGTGGTCCATGTATCTTGCATTGGTGGATTTAGTTTGTACTTAGTAAGTGTTCTTCTGACAAAGCCCAAAGGCAACGATGTGGATGCGCCCAAAAATTGGCATCTTCCCTTTGGCTTTCCCTTCAAACGCCCGGAACGGTTTTTCTCCCCGAGAAATTTGGCCAGTCGTTTCTTGAAAAATAAACAAACGCCAACCAACCCCTTGGATTCCCCGATTAAGCCAATTTGTCCAAGCCAGCAGAAAGTACAGGAAACCGCAACACGCGTGCATTTGGCGTTCCAAATAAAATTCCTTGCTTTTGCCGGCTTCCAACAAAATGCTCAAGAGGGTTCAAGGTAATGTTGCCCCCATGTTAATCGTAGGGGGGTGTTTCCCTCCAAAAGTGATGATTCCCCACTGAACCCGGAGACACCCCCCTATATTAGTAAACCGGGGTTGATTAGTATGGGGTCAACAATATCAGGTAATCCTTAGTTGGTGGTTTGGATCGGTGGTTTGGATTTGGAGTTGAACCCCAGGGTCGAATGTGGGTCTCCGTTTCAACCCAAACCACCGGGGAAGCTGAGGTTACTCTGCGCAGTTCGATGTTTGCTTTTCCAGACCTGTGACTTGAGCATTCTGTGTGCTCTGCGCAATCGAGCGGTGCCCAAGAACTGTCGGTAAATTTTCGTAGATGGTTCCAGCCTGGACATAGCCTTGCAAATCCACAAAGCGCAGACACAAGTTTGCAATAAGTTTCATGATCTTGCTCTTTACCAGCGGAGCATCTTTCACACTTTCCACTTGGATTTGCCAATCCGTCAGACCATCTTGGTAGAGGGGGTTCCTGGCTTTCGAGTCAGAACCGGAACACACCGATCCAAAGCACCTTGTTGGAGGGCCTGGGAACACCTCCTCCGCCTTTCTGGAAAGACCATTTGGTGTTAAACAAAAAGTTGGGGGTTACTTTGCTTGGTGGCGAAGCCAGCCATCCTGTTCAACTTAGCCTTTTAGTTGTTTTATTGTTTAGTGCTTGGATTTCCATGTAACCCACTAAAAGTGTTCAACTTTTCGCAGGGGATCCTGAGGGCAGCCCAGTTTGGTTAATCCACTCGATCGGTGAGCACACCAATTGGTTTGCTTCCCCTTGGTCCAAGTTCCAACAGCCGCCGGATGGCTTGGCTGCGAGTTTGGGTGGGACCTTTCAAGATCGTTTCCCCTGAAAGGAGGGGGTGCCCTCCAAAGGTTATTTTTTCCCTGAAAACCCGCCAAAAAAGAGGTACCACCTCCAAAAAGACAACCTGAGAGGAGTTTCTAGCAACATGGGGTGGCTGGACTTATGGAATCCCTTAGTGAGAGGGAGGTCCAAGGGGGTTCTTTAAGGCTCACAGCTACCCACCCCCTTGTACCTTCCTCGGGGAATTCCGAAAATTGTACATTTGCCCGGCGCTTGGAGCCCTAAAGAAACCCTAGGGCTCCTACCTGCCCCATTTTACGAACAAAACACGCACACCATTTTTTTACCCCCCGCATGCCTGGAACCCTAAAAAGAAACCCTGAAACGAGCGCACCTAGCCCACGCGAAAATTTCGGTGTATTATACCCCCCGCATTTCTACTCACTCCGAATGGGGCAGCTGGACAAATTTGGGCCGCGCCAAGTTGTGAATGAAACGCCGATGCCAAGGCCTGCTCTCTGTGAAGAGTCTCTTCGGCGAGGGCTGGCCTGGCCCCTGGGGTTCGTGGGGTTCGAGCCGCCATCAATGCAATGGGGCCCGGTTAATATTAGACATATCACCATCCTTTACCTAAGGATTTTTTCATCCAAGTTGGGTCCTTGCCATTCTTTTAATTGGGTTGAATTTCAGGGCTCCTTTGTGTTTGAGGCTCGGTTGGGTCAATTCTTGACTTGACTCGAGCGACCATAGAGCCCAAGGAGCCCGATTGGTTTGCCAAGTTCGCAAGTTGTAAGGGTAGAAGTACGAATTAGATACGTAAGTTAGTAAGCAACTCACTTCCTGAGTTCACGAACTTTAGACTTTTTGGGAAGACCATTTTAGTGGTAACTATAAAGTTTGGTTACTTTTTTGGGGCCATCCACTCAGCCAGTGAGGTTTGTTAGTTAGTTTGTTGGTAAGTTGTTGGTTGGTAAGTTGTTAGTTGGTTCTGACCCACTGATCAGCCGGTAAGTTGTTGTTGGTTCTGACCCACTGCTCAGCCCGTGAATGTGGGGTTCACCTTATTCGGGGCTGACCTTCGATTCGTAGCCCATACACAATACCAACTTTCAGGGCATGAGGTCCACCCTCTAAAAGGGGATCGGCATGTTCCCTGACACCCTTGAAACGGATGTGTTCGGTGCGGGGTCTGGGGAACGGGTCTTCCGAGCCCGTTAGGCTCACGGGTGCAACGTGCGTTTTTTCAGGTTTTCCAGTGGACAGCAGATCGGTTGAGTTCCGGTCGGAATTTTGAGTGCGACTCATGTTCTGTAGGGAATCCTTGCGGGAGGCCCTCATGGCTTCCGCGCTTCTCGTTTTGGTCACCTTTTGAAGGACTTGCTTTTGCAACGCTCGGAAGTGAGAATTTGGGAATCTGGAGAAACCAGCTATATGTCTGCAAGGAAATTCATGCATGGGTTGGTGTTTCTTCATTTTTCAGTAAGCATTTCTTATGGCTGATAAAAATGGGCGGTTTACTGGTGGCTCCTTTCAAACCAACCCGAAAAAGGGTACTCGGCGCCGAAGAAGGACCCCAATTTGTAAATGGTTAGAGTTCAACATGCGTTCACCTCTTTGACATCGTTGGTTGCTCCAATCCAAGCCATTCCTAAAAGACAATCAAACGCCCGCTTGGGAAGTTTAACGGTTTCCCCTAGTTTCCCCCTTTGCTAGGGACCAAATGTCTACTGTGCAATAGGGTCTTCCTTGCAACCCTGCTACTTGGGGCCGCGGTACAACAATTGTGCCAAAGGAACCCATGACAATCAATTCAGGACCTTTTGGCACAATCAAGCCACATAGTTAATCAACCAGCGAATTAATATGGTTCATCCAGTACGCAGTTTAGTTCCTCGGGCATCGACTTGTTGCCATGGTCTTTGTGTAGGATAAGATCGGGGGTCCAGCTTTCTTGGTGACCCGATTTTGCAGATTGAGGGGGATGTTGCGGGGTCCCTTATTTCGGAATGATGCTATTTGGTTGTAGAGAGTCCGTTGTTGTAGACGGAAACATACACATAGCTGGTGGTTTGGCTTCAATGTTGCTTCTTGTTTCTGAATTCCTGTATCGAAAACCTTTTTTGGGGGCCCTGCGGCTGGTTTCGAAGGTGGATCACACTTCGGGGTTCAACTTTCAACTGGTAGGGGTTCTTACAGAGGTTCCCTTCTTTGGGTGTCTTTCTTGGAAGTGCCCCCTTTTTGGTGGTTTAAACGGAAGCCCAGAAGGGCACCGACGATTTGCGACCCCGTTGTGAGACACATTGGTATGGGCCCAATGAGTACGTGTTGAAATACCCACCTCATTTTGGGTTACTCGAATGCAACCACCCATACTTGTGTTGGACGAAATCCTGCACCACCTAAATCAGGAAACCCTGGTTTCTGATGATTGTGCTGTAAATACCGACAAACGGTTCTGGTTTCAAGCATGGTGTCTTAGGTAACGGCGCGATTTTGCGATTCCATGTGGCCGGAAGCATTCAGTCTGAATGCCCTTGATCCGGAGGTATGACGTGTTCAAGACAATCGTTGAGGCGTGGACCGACTGAGCGACTGAGCGACTGTCTGCCCCATGAGCCTTCTTTGGTCGCGAGGAAATTCTGCTTAAGTCAGCCAGCACCTGACAGAATCTTTGGGTGTTCAATTCGCCAAGTGAGTAAGTTGTAACGGTCACCGTTCGGTTATAATCCACGCAGAATTTGGTTGGCCTTTGGATTGTTGCGGGTTGTGAAGCCTTGAATCTTTCGGGGGCAAAAGGTTCGTGGGAGTCCTGAGACAACCGTGACTGGCTGACAGGGCTAGGATTGCTGTGACTTTTGAAGTCGCAAGCATCTGTTTTTTTGGGGAATGAAACATCATAAGACTGCCCTTACCACCCGCCAAACACACCAGACCACTTTTGGCCTTTTTTTTACTCTTCCCGGAAGGGGGTGTGTTCGGGGCTGCCCCCAAAAGGCAAACGTGAGTTTCTGGGTGGTTATTTTGAACAATGGCCCAAACCCGAACGGATCTTGGGCATTCAGGTGACACACGGCAAGGAGCAGCGGGGGGAGGCAAAAGCCGCAGAAACTGCGGGCCGCGTCGGTGCCGTGGATAGAGCGAGCGCGGGAGCTGCAGAAGCAGGACGGCCGCAGCATTTGGAGTTCGTGAAGGAGGGGAGGACGCGAAAAAATATTGGTGGCGAAGCCAGCCATCCGGTTCCTTAGCCCTTTAGCTTTGTATTGTTTAGTGCTTGGATTTCCCATGTAACCCACTAAAAGTTAAGCTTTAAGCAGGGGATCTGAGGGCAGCCAAGAAATTCAGGCTTACGCAACGTAATGACGGACTGCAGCATCGGCCTTTTCCCACAACTCGTGGGCCGGTCCCGGTCGGATCTGTCTGCCTGAGCCCTCAAACTACTCATAAGCTCCAAAATCCAGTTTTAATTGTAGTACCCTCAAACCATTTGGAACGCCTTCCAGCGAACTGCCCATTGTTCTGGGGTACTACTTGGGTGCTGGGCCAAGTTAGCTTGTGGTTCGCCAATTCGGGTTTCTCTCACCCTAAAATTAAGTTGTTAACCCCACGTTTACGGGGGACTTGTAAGTGAATTCTACCCGAACGGTGACCGTTACAACTCCCTAACTTGGCGAAGAGCACCCAGGTACGTGGCCAAAGGAACCCCCCCCAGCATGGTCCGCGTCACTGCGAAGTCTACCCTCAAACTGGCGATTTGATCACCGTTGACGTTATTTGGACTCATGACACTCCTCAACTAAACCATGGTGAGAAATGTAACCTAACTAAACCATGGTGGTAATAGTAACCCAACCGTTTCCTTTTTTTTTGAAAGGCTTTGAATCCCCGGCCATTTCCACGCCGCTCAGATCGTGGGGGACATCGGCACCCTGCTTTTCTCCTTCGTGGCGGGCCTGGGGTCCATTCGCTCCGGTTTGGGTCCGTGCGGGTTGGGTATGTGACAGAAATCGGTGATTTGGAGCCCGAAAAAGTGGCGAGTTTCGTGTGTATATATATATATATCGAAGGAAATGTAGTTTATGGGGGAGGGGCCTGACCATATATATATATATATAGTTTCCAAGGTTGAGTTCCCAATAAAAACCTTTGGGTGAACAGGTGCTGAAGTGGCTCGTCTTTTAGGATTTGGGCCGGGCCCCCGAAATGGCGCTCCGGCTTTCCTGTTGGTCTCCAATTCACTCAACAGACGCGCCATGGAAAAATATGAGATCTGGAAAAATCGGCCTCGACCCCCAGCAAAAGGTGTTTTTCCCCTTCCCAAAATCCTTTTGCCGCAAGAGGATCGAAGCGTTTTGGATCCCGGATCCCCGAAATTTGGGATCCGTGGGAAAAATCCCGGGAGTGTCGGAAAAGTGGGGCGGATGGAAAATGGCCAGCCTTTTTTTTGTTGCGACGCTCCGGTTTGGTAAAAACAAAAATAACGCTCGAAAAGTTGTTCAAGTTTCGGTTGTTCCTTGGGAATGCTAAATGATACAGGGCATCACACCGCAAGGTCAAAACGTAAAACCATCGCGTCCTTTTTGGCCTCTTTGAAGGCCACCTCATGTTGGACATTCGAACTTCCTCTTGTGAAGTCAAATTTGATTTGGGTATACCTGGCCCCTCAAAAGCTAACCATGAAGGGGCGAACAATTCATTCGCCAAGCCTCCGGTTTTCTGTACCCCATCCTGTCTCCGGGCTTGGGGGACTCGGGAGTTTGACCGTGCAGAACCCGCACAGGCGGCGAAGTACGCCATGAACGTGTCCATGTCCAGCGAACACGTGGCTTGGATTTTCACGCGCCCTGGATGTTCATTGCCAAGTTAGTCAGTGGTTAGCCAATTGGGGGTTTCACCCCTGAAAAAAAGTTTAACCCAACTTAGGGGAACTCAGAGGTGGGTTGTAATCTAGGTTACCAACAACTGGGTCAAGCCATTGTGCAAAACTGGCCACCGAATCCTAGCGCATTGATTTTGAGGCTACACCCGTATGTTCGAAACGGCGCCTTTTCTTTGGGGTGGTCATCAACTCAGGGAATTGAAATCTTGGAATGATTCGATTCCGCAATGCAAATACCAACAAACATTTTTTACCATGGTTGCGGTTTCAGCCATGCTGATTCCCCCGTAAATACCAACAACTCACGTGTTCCCATGGCTTCTTAGGTGCTGCGAACGGGTGTCGCCCATGCGCAGTGGGGGTGAAAGCTGAATATGAACCACGACCTTATGGCGTACAAAACCTGGAGCTTGGGCTATGGCGTCGTAGGTCTGAAAGCTTTGGACGGTGTCTTCGTTTACTCGCTGCTCAGCAATAGGCGCTCGTTGTCCTCGGTGTCAAAATGAGACGTACTTTGACATGGGTTCAATTGCGGACCTCAGCCCAGTTGCCCACAGCCAACGTTTTGACCTTTTGGTTTTCTCATGTTGGCCCATTTTGGGACATGGACCTAAACGGTACTCACCTGTTATTTCTGGGTCCGAACTGGGCAGGTGAGTTTGGCTCGTTTGAGTGTGGATTTGGTTTGAAGACAGATACAGGGTGGGTCTTGGGAGATGGGTTGGTGGGTTTTGGGGTAGGGCCTCACGATGATCAAAGTCAGCCCCTCAGTGGTAGCTTGGGAAACGACAGCATCTTCCTACTTTACCCCGCCGCAGCAACAGTCAGCCCGCAAGCACCACTAACAGACAGTGTTTTTTGACCTGGGAGAAAACACCTGGGAAACATTTCTTCACTGTTGTTGGCGTATTGTTTAGTTGTCTGTTGGTTCTGTTGATTCTTAGTGTGGCCGCAAAAAATGAAGAAGAAGAAGTGTTGGGCTACCTTGCCAAGGGTTAAAACACAGCAACAAACAACTTCTCCACATAGGAGTCGACGCCCTAGAAAGGAGGTGCCCCCGTGCTAAAGGCGTTCATCTGCTGACATGTGGTTGTTTTTCGCTTTTGGCTGTAAAGGGAATCTATCACTACTGTTGTTCTTAAACAGAAAGTTGTTTTCAGGGGAAGGGGTTCTTAAGTCGTTGCAGTATTGTTGTAGGGAATCAGAGGTTCTTGTTGTAGAATCTATCATTTTTCTTGCGGGGGACAAGCAAATGGAGGAAAGGGGTCACAACGAGCCCAACAAGACATGCATCCCCGCTTTGAACAATGCTGTCTCAAAAAAGCTGATTTCCCAACTCCAGGGATGATATACGTTTGGGTTGTTAGGGATACGAGTTATAGGCTAGTTGGGCTTACTAGGGTTGGTTGCAAACCCCTGGACGTGGTAATGTGGATCTTGTGGGATTATTTTACTGGGCTTCATCCATCCCTGCGAAGTGGACCAAAGAGCATCCACAGGTACGGACAACATCCGTTCGCACGACTTTCACCGGTTGTTGGCATTTGAATCGACTCGGGTTCTGGAAAGTCAAGCAAGCCTTACCCCTTATGCCGGGTCGTGGTGTCCCTCGTTGTTGTGGCCGCTATGGATTACGAATTGGTGTTTGTCATGATTCTCCGATTTTGACCAATCCTACCACTGAACGGACCTACCCTAAACTCACCCTGTATATGTTATATATGCATTACATATATATATATATATACAAATATATGTATATAGCCCACAACCATCTAAAATGACCTGACTTCCCGTCAGGCACTTTTTCTTCTTTCTTTCGTTTTTGGGGGGGTGCTTGCATTATATATATATATGCACATATGGTCAGGCCCCCACCCCCCATGAACTACCTTTCAATATAAATATATGTACACATATATATATATATACATACATGTTCCCTTCCGGCGCCGGGGGGGATTTTCTCAGGTGGAGATTCAGTGTCAGCGCGCGCCCACCTGCTGCGGCCTTTTGTCCGTGGAGCTCGGGGCGCCCAGACTCGACTCGCTCACGGTCGCAATCCGGCGTCGTCGTTTTTTTTTTTTTTTTTTTGCGTCGCTGGAGAAAGCGGCCAAGGGAAGGCATATTTTTCCATTTGCTTGAGAGTATGTTTGATTTTCCCCTATTGGTTTTAAAAGGAATTCATCACTACTGGATTTATATTGGTTTTAAAAGGAACTCATCACTACTGGACATATTATTATTTTTTCCCTGGGGCCTTAACCAAATGGAAGTATTAGGGCCACAGCCAAAACCGATTCGGGTAGATGAAGGTCATATCCTGAAGCTACTCAAGTTGGTTGAACGTCCAAGTGATTCTTGAAAGCTTTCACCCGATTCGGGTAGATAGAAGGTTAGTAAGGGACAATCCCAACAATAAATGGGTGCGGATATCCGCCTTCTTAATGCCTTGCAGGGTAGACGAGTTTAGTACCAAGTTTTGATTATGACGCTGGGTGTGTCTTTTCCGGATGGTACCTTTTTTGTGTTTTCCAAGGCAAACCAGGAGGAACCCACCACTTGTTTTGGGGGGATCCATTCAGAAACAGGCCACCCATAGAACGTCTGGAGCCCACCAAAGGCTCGCCCGGTCTCACGGTCTTCCACCCAACCGTCAGGTTGAGGGTGGCTTAGGGGCTGGGGGTTATGAAACACAAACAATTTGATTCAGGATGGATACCAGTAAACACCAGTGCGCAGGATGGTCATGACATGTGGATGGATTTTTTTTCTGCACGGAAGGTTCTTTGTTTTTTTTTTCCAGGCGGATTGTCCGTTGGTATCTCTAGGCGAATCGAATCATTCCCTTGGGTTTCTGGCTTCGGAACGGCGCGAACGGGATTTGGCAACCATGCCCAGTATCGCACGAGAAGTTGATCACTGTCAGTGGAACTGTTTGCTAAGCTGGTGGCAATCCCACTAAAGAAACATGGGGGTGTCTCAAAATAGAGGACCTCTAAGAGGCCGAGGAGTTTACTTTGCCTTGTAACACCTGGTTTTGGCGGTTCCGGGCGAAGCCATGACCAAATTACTCCTCCAGTGGTGCTAAAGTACCCCACAACCCCCATTCCAATGGTTTAGCCCTTACTATTATTTTATTAACCCCATGTCCTTCTGGTTCGCCCTTCAGCACCCACCAAAGGCAAGCCCCCTTTTTGTGCCCCCCCCCCCATCCCTCCCTCCCTCAACTGATTTGCCCCACCGATTTGCCGCTCGGATCGATCCCGGCGGAAGCTTTCCGCGCCCAGCAAGCTGAACGACTTCAGCTCGGTGGAGCCTTTGGCTCTGGACTTCCTCGCCAAGATGTTCATGGAGGCGCGCTCGCGGCGGATTGATTTTTCTCAAAACCAGCGGGGTTGAGTCCCATTTTTTTGTTGGGTTCCCCTATTGTGTTGGGGTTCCCGTTTTTTTGAGACACATCACACCAGGTACTTCAATTTCTAGGGGTTGACTCCTTGTCCATTCTTTCCAACCATCGTTCTTTTTTCTCAAAGACCGGATTTCCGGGTTTCCTAAAAAGAAGGATCCCTGGAAAGAATGGGAAGGTACCCTAGATTTTCGCTGGCGCGCGAAACAAAAAGAAGCAAGGTCAATATCAGCTAGGTCCCCCAGTAGTGCCCTTTCTCACCCTTTTTCGGGGGAGGTTCCCGTACTAAAATAGGCTACAGAAAGAAAGGGTGCCCTTATTCTAACCTCTCTACTGGAGGACCTAGTCAGTAAAACCAGAAAAATAAATAGGGTCCCCCATGTTTTCTGAGACCAGGGGCACACCAGAGGATGGTCATTTGCCGAAATAGCAAGGACACCAAGAACAAGATCAATCCTCACTGAACGGCGGGGACTGTTCAGTGGGTTATAACCTGGGTTACCAACACGCAGTCAATCAGTTTCCCCCCAAACAAACCGGGGGCCCAATTTTCTGAAGGAGCTAGTACAGTAAGTAGTTTTTTTGTAACCATGGTGAACAGGGGGACAAACCCCGCTAACCCCAGTCATGACCTTAGTTATAACCTGCTTTCTAAGTTGGCTGAACATCCAAGTAGGCACAGTCAATCAGCTTTCCCCTCTAGAACATAAAGGGGCAGGGGGGGGTGTCCAAATCCATACGGATTGATGGAACGCCTCTGAAATGGGTCTGGATTGGTGGTTTGGGGGTTGATCCTAGATTTCTGCGGAGGGCAAATGGTAATCACCCTTAACCCCAACTACAAAACCAGCAACCAAGGGGTTTTTCACTTGGTCGAATCCCTCACTAGGGTGCAATTCCGTTTTGCCTTTTCATTTCTGGAGGGGGGTGGGCCCCTTTAAAGTCAACTACCAAACAACAACAGCCAAATCCACGGGGTCTGGGAACCGTACCGATTCTTTCCGATGTACAACGAACGGCAGCGGAGAGGCATCGTGCTTCAGTGGCGCTATCCCCGGAATGCACCGAGCACATTCCACGAAAGCTGTAACGACCAACGCACGCGTCGGGCTGTGGCGCTCCGGGCTGATTGCTCAGCGGGCGCTAACCCGGAGCCCGTTGACTCTAGCACGGACTGTGTAAGGCCCCTGGTTGACACACAGGCTGGGTTTTTGGCCTTTGCCGAGTCTCCCACACCAAGGCAATCAGTTTTTCCATGTTTTTTTGCAAAAGGCCCAAGTGAAGCAACAACTCAGTTGCCGAAGGTCGACCTTTCAGTGCAGCCTTTTGTGATTCCCTTATTGGTCCATGTGTAGTCAAGGTCCGGCAAGGTGATCGCCTTTCATCTCTGTGGTCGAACTGGGCGACTGAGAGGAAGGTGGCCTTGGGCTTCCCTTAGTCAACCGAAAGGGTGGCAAGTCTTGTCCCATGCAATTCCACCGGCGGTCTCAACACTGTACCCCCCCCCCCCCCCTGTGTTCTGTTTTTCAGACCATTGATCTCCCGCAACATTTGGCTCAAGGGCCCCTTTTGCAGAATCACGACCATCCGAGCGTGAAGACAAAAGAGCCATTGCAGGCCGCTTGCAGGATTATCCACAAGACAATCCACCAGGGACAATCCATCCTCCAATCATCCATTACTGGCATATTGGACTCTCTCCGGAATAGATCCAGGGACCAACAACGACCTCAACTACCACAGGGTTCCAGTTCCCTCCGGGGATAGGCACCTGGGGCAGCGGGCCTCAATTCGTGGTAGCGGAGCGGGTTTTCCGCAGAGATCCAAGGGAAGATGTCATCAGACGGAGAAGGCTTCATGGAAGCCTATACAAGTATGGCCAAGCCGAGCTATACGGAGGAAGCACTAAATTTATCGATGACCGCCAAGCAGCCGCCATCGTACGACGGAAAAGTCAGCTGGTTCAGGTACGAGTAACTCGTGGACGACTGGGTGGCCATCACCACAGTAGAAGCATCCAAGCGAGGTCCATTGCTTAAGAGCAGACTCACTGGAGATGCTTACATGTACAAGGCCGTCCTCCAGAATGATCTCTTGCAAGATCCTGATGAAGGAGTCAACTATTTCAAGAACACGCTGAAGAAGTACTTTTTGAAAGGTGCGACCAACGTGTATCTGTACAGACTCCTCAGTTTCTTCAATCATCGGAGGCAGAACCAAGAGTTCCTCATTTTTACCTCAAAATTCGAAATCCTTCTTATGAGATTGAAGGCAGCATGGATGGACTTGATGCCAATCTTTACGGCACAGTCCCCATCATTTCGACAGTCCGTGCAGGACGCAAATGCAAGAACAATTGCTCGACATCAGCAAGCAGCCGGTGTTCGAGCACCGCCTCCAGCCCTGCTCAATGAGGACGATCCGACAGTCCTCAGACAGTATATCCAAGGAATGCAGGACAGACAGCGGGACGCATTTCCCTTCGGGGATAATCTCATTGCACAGTTTTTCATTATTCAAAGTGAGTTGTCAGATCAGCAACGAGAAAGACTGACAAGTGCAATGTCATTAAGAAACATCTCACTTGAGAACTATTCCTATGAGATGCTGAAGACGCATTACCATGAACTCTTCATCACCACGAGGACATCCATCCAAGATCCATCCATCCGACCTCAAGGAGGCAGCCGAAGCAACACATTCTTCATCATCGAACAAGGTGAATACGAAGGAGGAAGGCTTCTGGGGTAAAGGTTAAAAAGGACTTGAAGGATTCATGTCAAACAACGATGAAGAGACGTTCTGGGTCCTCGAGGAGAACGGTGCGTTCATAGCAAGAAAAGTGTCGGGGCGGAACTTCAAGTTCAAGAAGAGAAAAGGAAAATAAAAATCAGGAAACAAAAAGGGCAGTCACCAACGAGGTGGCTTTAAACCCTTCAGAAAAAGCGGTTCTGGCGGAAAGGCCAATATGGCCAACGAAAACTATGATCCCTACGACCAGGCATACTGGGGAAAAGGCAAAGGAAAGAAGGGAAAGAAAGGAAAATCAAAACTCCAATATCCCTATGATGGGAAACAAAGGTTATCCATCCTATGAGAGTGGTAAAGGAAAGAGCGTTCGCAGCCACCGCAGAAAAGACGGAGGAGCAGCCCGCCATCCAGCAGACGGCACCATCCATAGAGCCTACCTATGCCGGTTGGACAGACCAAGATTGGGATCAATCATGGACATGGAATGAACAAGGCTGGTACTCATCCCATGAGACACCCAGCACAGGACAAGCGTTAATGGCATTCCATGATGCATATGAGCATCCTGGGAAAAAGGCCATCCACGACAAGCTGATCCAATCAGATACAGTTTCAGAACACTTGTGTCCGTAACAACAAATCACAGCCTTCTGGCAACAAAGCTGATGGCGCCTGTCATCAACCCTCAGCACAACCCGACCTATGCGATTCTGGACAATGGATGTACCAGATCTATGGGCAGCTGGCATGCAATCCAGCGTTTTACCCAGGCAATCGAACCAATGAAGGACATCATCTCCTATGAGTACATCCCGGCCGAGACCAAGTTCACTTTTGCAAACGGAGAGACCGCCAGGGTAAATTGGACCCTGCATCTTCGATATCACACAACTCCTCCGTGCAGTACCAACATCGACGTCCTTGAACAAGGAACTGTACCGATCCTTCTCAGCATCAGCCAGATGCGGAACCTCTACATGACCATCGAGCACACACCTCAATGTGACAAGATCACATGCAAGGCCTTTGGCATGAACCGTCAAGCAGTTCCAGTATCCGGTACAGGACATGCACTCGTCGATCTCGCTGGAGTTGCAAGAGTGAAGGCGCATGGAGAAATTGCTCACAAGGGCCTCACCAACTATGTCTATGACGATGATAACAGCATCAAGTTTCCCTCCGGGGATCTCACCAAGAGCGAAACTGTTTGTGCAGCAAAATCATCCGAGACAAAGGAGGACTTAGCAACTCCTAAGATCATTGGGTCTCAAAAGCAGGACCATTGGATCCTTGACAAGAAGAACAAGCAGCTCATCCGTGTGCACATCACGCCCCGAAAGCCGCTGTTCACACCAAATGGAGCCAAGGAATGTCCAATCAATCCTGATCACATTAGCCGAGAACGTACCACGGAAATCATTGATGCATCCGGAGGTGGGGATCCAGACATTTGGAAGACAATTGGAGACTTACATCCCAGGCAAATAAACCAATGATTAACCTGTGGATAGGTAAGACCATTTTCACCTTCTCGGACAATTCGCTTAAGGACGAAGAAGCAGGTTCAGGATCGGCAGCAGACAGGATCATCGACAAGAGGGGCCGGTCGACTATTGAGCCAGATCTTTTCGCACCATCCTCTGAAGAACCAACATCGCTTCCTCTTGCCCTAGGCAGAATCCACAAGCGATTGTCAAATCCCGAAGAGTTGAAGAAACTCCACCTGCAGCATCATCACATGACCACAGATCAATTTCGATTTAGAACCCGAGCACTTCATTTGCCGAAATCAACATTCGATCTATTTGACAAGATCCGAAGTGAGTGTGAAGTTTGCCAAGTGGCAAAACATGCACCATCACGAAGCAAGACAAGCGGACTTCGAGCGGACACCTTTGGTGACATGACATTCATTGATCACTGTCAAGTTCCTCTTGGAACAGGAGAACACATCATTGTTTTTGTCACCCTGGATGGAGCAACAACATTGCTCACTGCAGAGGCAGTGACAACTACGCAAGAAGTCGAGAACATCACTGTCCTCAGGAACTATTTTGACCAGTACCACTTGCAGCCCAAATCAGTTGTCGCAGATCAAGCCTGCATGACAGATACATGGGAACATTTCTATCAGTCCCTTGACATCACACCGATATCCTTGGGACCGAATACACCATGGCCAAATCGAGCTGAAGCAGCAGTTCGACTCCTGAAGGCACAACTCAAGATCATGCTAAGTTCC